ACACAAACTGAAGCAACAAGAATGGGTTCTGCAAGAGCCTGCATCAGATCCTCTATGGCTGTTAGCTTGGGGTTTTTGTGGGACCTCTTAACAGTAGGAGTGGAAGAATGTCTGTCTCTTTAGCCTGCTCTCAATTACTGGGTTGCCATGCCTAGCCTAGATATGAGACCACTTTCGCCTTGTCTTATAAAATCTTGTTTGGTATTGTTTGGTTGATATCTCTTGGAGGTTGGCTTTTTTTTTTCCTGAGGAGAAACAGGGGGAGAGTGGATCTAGGGGTACAGAAGGTAGCTGGTTAGGAGGAGTAGACCGAGGGGATATTGGTCAGGATGTATTGCATTACAGAAGAATCTATTTTCAATTTTAAAACAGATTATAATTTTAAATATTCAATGAAAGCTAACGGGTTTATTTCCAGTACATATAAATTAATGAATTAAGATCCATATTTCATGCAATGAAGACTTTCCTAGATATGTTTTAGAGATTCCCATCAATAATTTGCAAACTTTACTTTTGGGATGTGTTTGGCTATTTTGGAATAGCCTCTGTAAGTTCTTGCAGACTATGTGAGTCTGAGGTTCCTTCAGTGTTTCTTGGCCTAACCTTACACTTTCTCTCCCTGCAACTTATGGATCAGATGTTTGCTGTCATCTTCTGCCCCAAAGTCATGTCTGCTTGCTTTCACCCATGTTACCAGCCATGATGTTCATGAATTAATCTTCTGAAACTGAGAGAAAGCTCCCAATTAAAATCATTTTTACTAACGTTGCCATGACCACAGTGTTTAATCACGAAAATAGAACAGTAGCTAAGATATGCATCTCTGACAAAGATTGATACATTGAAGAATGGGTGACAAATGATCCAAGGCTCTAAGAAAACAGAGTACAAACAGGTCAGATCCAAGCTCTTAATATTCTGTTCAAGAGTATGCCTCAGTTAGCTCAACATTTTCACTGCACCCAGTTCTAATGGTCTGTGATCTGCTGTGATACTAACAGGCCTGTAACACAATGGCTTTTGATGTATATTTTAGATCCTTATTAGAGCACATGTAATATTCTCCACTTTTTAATCTTACTAAAATCAAGAATGAAGTAAAATTTTAAGTATAGTTGGTGAAAATCTCAAAACTACATTGAAAAATAAAGAATACTGTTCATATTTGCAATACTTTAGCTGCAAAAAATCTCTGTGAGTTCGAGGCCAGCCTGGTTTACAAGAGCTAGTTCCAGGACAGGCTCCAAAGCTACACAAGGAAACCCTGTCTCAAAAAAAAAAAAAAAAANAAAAAAAAAAAAAAACCCACAAAATGAACAAACAAACAAACAATCCTTTTGGTGCTTGTAAGTTGTCAATATGTATCTAGGAGGAGTAACAGCATATGTTAAAATCTACTTTCTTCAAATACTCTACTAGATATAATGGTTCATTTCAATTTGTTAGAAAATGAAAAATAAAAATTATTACTATGTATATGTCATCATAATAAATGTTTTTAAAATAAAGGTCACTATATTTGAAATACAGAGATTTTTCTAGGCAAAAAAAGACTAGTAAGTGTCATCATATTCCAAAGCTCTTGTTCTCTAATTCATTGGTTAGAAAATCATGTCTTTTCTAAAAGTATAAAAATCCAGAAAGAAGAGTCACAGCGGACAAAGAAAACTACTGAGGTATAAGAGAAGTTGACAGCCTTTGACTAGTATGTCGGGTGTCTCTCCACCACACTTCACTAATCCCTCAAAGTTAATTACAGAGCGGTGACTAGATAATGTAAAGAGATGGAGCATGGTATTTTTCTAGCACAATTAAGATTTTGTTTTGTCCTTTTAACATTTCCAGTGTATTCTAATGAATCCTGCTCTAGGCACTAACAAGGAGTTTGTAGTTTTAGTCTGGTAGCGGGGGTCAAGTGAACCACTGACTCCCAGGGCTACTCACGGCTGACCTGAATTGTCTAATTCACCAGCAGTGATGAATCAAGACTGATTCTCCCATGAAGGCCTGTTTCTTCTTGTTTAAAGCAATTTACTGACCACCATTCTCCTGGGTAAAATCCCCATCTCAAATAGAATGCTCAAGCTTTCTAGGGCATTGATTTTTTTTATAGCTATAAAAAGTTTGTTTAAAAATAATAAAAAATGAAAACTTCTGATGACCACTTTGAGTGAGATTGAAATGTGCATTTTCCCCAGCTTTAGAACCTTCTGTCCATTCACCCTTGGCAGCTGACCCAGTTCATTTGTAGAGTACAGAAAAGTCATTGTGTGAGTAGCATGACATATTAAATAAAGACCTGGCCAAGGGCAATTTAGCTATTTCCTACTTTAAAACCTTGATAAAATGCCCCCTCTCTTTTTTTCTCTTATTGGAACCCTCAAATGTGACTTACTTTGTGGTCTACTTAGGAGAATGTATAGAAAAAGTAACAAAAACGTCCAGCAGTATAAAAAGACAACTCTCCATTCTTTGGCTAAATCAACTCATCAACTATCAGTAGCACACAAATATTTTATATACTACTTTTCCTCTTTGGATTTACATACTTAGTGACACCAGAAGAAATGACGGGTGAATGAGCTAGGTCTGTTCAAATTATTTTAAGTATTCCAAACTCTCTTGACAAATAAAAAAGTGAAATTAAAAAGGAAATAAATATTACTAATAATTATTTTTGGCAAAAATTGCCCTATAAAACATTAATATTTCATAACATCAAACATACTTTGTTTCAAATTCATATTTAAGTGAACATTTAAAACTTAACTTTCCTACAAATGTATCTGTAGTAATTATCATTGCTTGTAGAAGGAAAAAGACAAATATGTATATTTATGCGGCTATATACCTCTGTAGTAGTGATGAAATATATTCTGTAGTTTAGCTATATTTTTCTATAATAGTTGACTTCTCAGTTCACTCTGACTGACCACTGACCACAGACACATAATTCCATGACAAATAAAATATGGAATAACTATCATCTTGCTTAGTAGTTAATATAGCCTAAAAGCTGCCTTTCCCTTCTAGATGAATATTTTTAAATTTCTAATTCAATTAGCTAAGTAGAAAATTTACCCACATGTTCATCAATTTCTAAAACCCAGTGATTAAGCTCACTGCCCTCTGTCATCCTGTGTGTGATTCTAAAGGACGTCATTATTCTATCCAAAACAAAATTGACGAAAGCTCTTAGGCATGTCTAAGTTCTTCACCTGTAATCTCATTTATTACTGCTGCTTTAAGTATATTTGTACAGAGTGCATTGCCTCTGCTACAGAGAACTGCTACGTCTGTGTGTCTCGGTATATGTAAGCTGTGGTTTTCTGTGCTGATTTTGATTCTGACTCAAAGACAAGAACAGCCAAACACTTACACACAAGGAAATCAAAATCACTGCATAAAGATGTAGCTTACTGTTAGTTGTAGATTACATGAATTGTTTGCAAGGAGTTCTTAGAAGCTCTACCTACCCCATCACCTCTACAAAATTCCTGGGAAATGCGGCTCAATGGAACAAGCTAGAATCATTACATCGCAGAGTGAGCATGCCAAGAAATGCACGGAGAATAAGTGATTATCTAGCTCTCTCAAACTTAGTTTGATGAAAGGTTTTAAGATCATCAGCTCTAGATATTTGAAGTCAAAAAAATGCCCTTACAAAGCAAACACACATCTTGAAAATGATGGCATACAATTTACTTAGATTCTACTAGATTTCCTGGAGTAAAGGGTAACCTCTGCAGAAAGATGTGATGTAACTACACACATTGAACAGCTGCTAGTGAAAAAAGAACCTAATGAGAGGCCTGCATAGGCAGTGGCATGGTTCAGACAGGACAGAGGGAGAGAGGAAGAACGTACACAGATCTCTCTGCCTAGACAGAGAAGCAACTCAGAATTGTGGAAGGAAGTGAACATGAGAGCTGAATTACCAGAAGGGAACTTGTTAAGAAAGCCTGTCTGAGCTTGTGACCACTTCCAGATAGCGCTACAACACAGAAATGCCAGAGGCACAGTAATGTCTTAGGCAGAAGGGGCTAAATAGCCAGAGATTTATAGGAAAGTCACCTTAACTCCATTTCCTTCTCTAGCTAGTCAATGTGAAGCCATTTCAAGAGCAGGAGAGATAGTCTGTCTTGAGTCTTGAGTGTGTATAACGTTTGTTCTTTTGTTGTTGTTCCCTTTCTGGTTTGGATGTCCTCTTATTATCACTACTCAGTATTTCCCTTCCTTTAAAAAAGAATTAGAGAAACATACAAACACTTATCTAATAGTCTGTCTACAGTGAGCATTCTCATTATCATGAAAAAAAATAATATAGAAATCATTTTCATTGCCCATGATTTTCTTTATAAGCAAAGTCCCTCTACAGGAATGGCTTAGGATTGAGAACGATTGCCAAGGTCAGCTATAGTTCTTTGGAGGATGTTGGATTTAGACCAGATAAAACTACTCATACACAACCAAATTATCCAAAACTCAAAGCATAAATAAAATTTAAAAATCATATCCTTTCTTCAGATGGATCTTAGCCACATTCAATCATTATTTATTTGTGTTGTTTCTAAAGAATTCTTTAGAAGATAGCGTTCCACAAGAATGAATATATACATACATATATACATACATACATATATATTACTTCTCAATTACTATATTCCAATGAAGTCTATGTCATGAACTTTTAAATGCTTGTGCTGTAACCTCTTTGCCACCACAGAATATTCCAATAAATATTGTCTTTCAATTATATGTGCACATTTTAAAACCTTTTGATGGCTCATGAAATAAGCCATCATGTTGGCGCATACTACCTAAAGGTCAACATATCAAACGCACCATACTTCATCTATTTCAATGCATCTAACAATAAAAACAGCAAGCACAATCAACTGTCCCTATTTTGCAGAACAAGGTGACCATTTAAACAAGTTCCAGCACACTACTCAACCAGAACAGCCGCAAGCTATGAAGACAGGAAGAGGACTCACCAGAGTTGGGGTCCGAGTTGCCATCTGCTTCGGTCCTCTTGTCCGGAGAGGCTTGGTCGTAGAATTCGTCCTGTGGCTGAACCAGAGGAAGAGGGTGTGAGATCAGGGTTCCACTACCCACCGGCTCGTGGTCTCCCAGACCACTGTCACTGCAGCTTTCCTGGGAGCCATCCGGGAGGTGAAAGGTAACACGGCGCTGAGACTACAAAGAAGATCACAGGACATGCAGTTAACACTAGATTCTCCACGGCAGAACATTCATGCTCTGTAGAACACAAATCCAAAAAGTATAGCAAATGACACAGGACAAAAGCAAATTACGCAAGGCTAGGAATAAAGGGAAGAGTCACCGATCATCACTTTCGTTCTCTAGGTAATATGCAACTGGCAAATTACCACAATAAATGTCCATCTTTAATAATTTAAGGGCATAAAACTAATGTTAAGTGCCAGGCAGTGATGATTCACCTCTTTAATCCCAGCACTCCGGAGGCAGAGATAGCAGATCTCTGTGAGTTCAAGGCTAGCCTGGTCCACAAGAGCTACTTCCAGGACAGGCTCCAAAGCTACAGAGAAATCCTATCTCTCACCTCCTTGCCCCCCAACCCAAAACAAACAACAGAAAAACAAACAAACAAACAAACAAAACCTAATGTAAAATCTTGATTAAATGTAAGAAAAGCAAGGGAATATATTTATGAGAAAAAAATTAAGAAATTCCTAATAAATACACAGACTCATTTGCTTCACAGAACTAAATAATTCATTAATTCAACATTTCAAGTTTCTTGATTAGGCACTTTGCTTCTGGAGACTTTCAGGGTAGTGATCTAGTCAGCAACGTTCCTATACCATTCCTCTTTTGAATTTCCCCTCAAACTTTTGGAATAGCATAATACAAATAATAATGTAGAGTGGAAAGGGATTAGTTTGTTTTATTAAAGTAAGTCCAGAAATAATTAACTAAAATTGCTAATACAAAATTGATGCATATTGAAGGAAAGGATGTCATTCAAAACTTGAGAAAAACAGAGAGGAAGAGACTACTGAATTATTTCGATCAATGTCTCAGGCTTTACTACTATCCTATTTTTTTTTAAAGATAGCTCTGTAGAAATGTATTTAGAAAAATGCTTTGGCATCTACTGCACTGCATCCTGAATCAACACAAGAAATGAGCTATGATGTGCTTAAAATTACTTCAGTGAAAATCAGTGTTTCAGTACAATAAAAGCCTGCACTCTAACACAGACAAAAGTTCAACTTTCATGTCAATGTGCTTTTGTCTGATAAAACCTATGAAATATAAAAATATATGCAGTTACATGGGGGTGCAAATGTAAACTGCAGGGAATTACATATGTTAGTAACTGAGTATTATTGTACTAAAAGAAATTTCCATTCCTTCACAGTCAAAATCTATCCAATATAGTACTATACATGAATACTTTTATTGAGATTAAATGGCATTAATAATACATAGAAATAAACAAAATGCAAATAATGTGCATAATATAACCATCTCCTAGATTCTAATATTTGTTTATTCAAGAGGTAATCTATGGAGTATATTCAAAGAAACGGAAAGGCTGCTCGAGAGAAAATGCAGGAGGCAGGTGCATTGCAGCCCTATAAAATGCTTTTATAGACTGGCAATAGAACACAGCTTATTTTCTATGAGTCACTGGTTCAAATCCAGGTAAAAGTCATCCTGGAGAAGAGCTGATACCACTTTATTGCTTTTCAATGGCCTATGTGAAATGAGTTGATAGCTCAGTACATTTTTAATGAACTGACACCAACATCCCATAGACTATAATCATAACAATTACTAATTGTGTCTGATGTAGCACACTCCCCCTTTACACGCTACTGTTGGAAGAGCATCCGTCCTCTTCCAAAGGTTCTGGTGTACGTCTAGGTGAGTGCTATACAAAAGCAAGGCAGACACGAAAAGAAACTCCTGGCGTGAATCCCACTTTCTAAAACAAATCCTATGCTACATTATTTATTGCTATGTTTCTTCTCAATTGAATTTTAACTGTCAAGGAAAGAGCGCTTATCTGTTCGTATTTCAACATTCTAAATATACTATAATCTTTTCATGAAAAGTGAATATTAAGGGGATGTAACCCATCGGCCATTAGACATGATTGTCAGCCATGTTTCTTAACATGATTGTCCAAGAGAAAAGTCCACTGGTGTCAACACGAATAGACTCTTAATTATTTATAAACTGATTAATAAGGGATAAAAGCACAAGGCAAAGCTAAGAAATAAATCACTCTGTTATCTGATAGCCTCCATATGCATCATGCACATAAAGGAGTCTGTATTTCATGTATGATAAAGTTACCTTTGTGACAATTGGTAGAAGATCATTATGTTGCTGTAATTATACTATTTTCCCCAGTAAAATATTCCTCAACATATGCATAATCAGTTATCTCTTATATCAATAAGATAATTGTTATCTTATTGTTATGTTATATATGTGTGTACATATATGTTAATAGATATTTATTTATTGAGCATTGGAAAATAATTACATAGAATAACAAAACATTTTCTTCTAAGACTATTATGTTGAGTTTGTTAGACTCCATCTTTTACACATTGCACTGATATTTTATTTTGTGCATTATACATTTATTAGTAATGCATATTAGTAAATACAAATTTATTTTTATTTTAAACAAAATACTGTTTAAGTTTGAATGATGAAAAACTGAAATTTCTTAACTAATAAACTCAAAGCTGTTTAAAACTGATTGGCAGAATTGTGTAATTTTTTTTTTTTTTTAGTCTATGGAGGGGTAGGATGTTAACGTACATGCACTAAGAGTTTGTAAGTGGATACCATGGGTTGGAGAAAAATGATCAAGCATACATATTGCTCATTTGTTGCCAGAAATATCACTGACAGAATGAACAATGCAGGTGCAAAGACTGGATTTGAATACATTTCAATACAAGGAGAAGAACAGTGGTGCGTTATGAAAAGAAGTTGTGCTTGTTGTTAAGGAATCAGCAGTAAGTGTTGATCTGTGGAAGTAGAGCATGTGACCATATATCTGTTAATTCTGAGTTAGGGCTTATGCTCTGGCTCATTTAGAGGTATTTTATAAAGGATGAAATATAATATTGGCTGTCCAATAGGAGCATTGTAAGGTCAGAAATAATCAAACAAGAAGATTTTATGATATATAATGCAAGTTGTATAAACATGCTGCATAAAAACGTAATTGCTCATCGAAACAAATACATTTTATTAAAAGGTATGGTTCTGTCATCATTTAGCTAGTTTTAACAATTATTTCTTTCATTCCCTAAAATTAAGTGATGTAATTTTCAGTGAGAAGAAAAACACGTGATTCACAGAATTTAGTTTTTGTCACAGGTGCTGCTTCAGATTCTTTTGCTCAAGTAGAGCTTCTTCTAGAGTGAAACTCCAGGGATAACGATGAGGCAAAGAACAGTGCAGACCACATACTTCTCCTTAGAGAACAGATTTTGATAGAATCTTATAGACTCAATTCTAGCGTAATAAACTATATGCACTATAGCGTAATAAACTAATTAACACTAGAAAGATATAAATCAACGTGATAAATCTTCGGAGAGGATTCTAAATACACTTTAAAAGAGAACTTCTACAGCTATGTTTTCCAATGTGTTCAGTATCAAGTATAAGGAGCTATTTTTAAAAGCCAAGGAAATGGGAGGCGGTGGCGGGGAGGAGATAGAAATCTTTAATAAATAATTTTTTTAAAAAGCCAAGATTCAAAGAATCCCTCTAGAGATGATAAAGAAGAGGTTTTTAAACACAAATTACTTTATAGTGGTTCATTTAATTACTTACAACTGCTACACTGAACTAACTTTCTACTCACTTTTGGAAGTCCTTATAATAAAACAGTCACACCTATGAAGAATTTAGGCCTATTTTTAATCTGCAAATAATTAGTGATTTGACACAAATTTCTCATCCATCATATTTTTTCTCTTAAAGCAGTAAAGGTAAAGTGGTTGTCTTAAATTCCGGAAAACTAGAGTCAAGTTCACATAATATAAGCTCATTCAAAAAAACTTTTCCTAATATTAATTAATTTATTCACTAAACAATTATTTCAGTCCATGAATAGGAGATTTTCACTGCATTTTATTTTAAAGAATCAGATTGTTCTTTTATCAGAACAATGAAGTGTGTTCATCAACAATAACCCAAGCACGGAAAAACAGAGGGGAGTATTTTCTGAGTATTTGGTTTCAAAATAATCCACACTAGTTACCTGAAATAAAATTAAATCTATTGTTAATCAAAAACAACAGTAATAAACATGGGCTAGAAGAGTAATACAGAGTGTTGGAGTAGGCTAGCATTGTTGCAAATATGACAAAAACTTTTTACTTTACATGTCATTCAACTTTTGTAACTGAGAGTTAGAGAATGATAAGAACATCAGGATCTGTCAACAATATGAGAACTGGGTAGTTTTTGGGGGAATGTAGACACTTGATACATGATGAACTTACAGTAGAAATTTCCTGAGTCCATGGAAGTGAACGAGTCATTTTTCTGGCACTATAAATGGGACAGACAGACCATCAGGGGGACTACATAGTCGGCCAGCCACGCACTTTTATAAGGTCCTCTTTCTTTCTGCTTCATGCTGACTGCTTGGAGAGACAGCAAAGGAAAGGGTAGCAACACCGCCAACCGGGGTCACCATCTCTGTTCCTTCTTCAGTATTTATATCTTTCAGTATTTGAGAGAAAGGAAAATATTTATCTTTGGGAAAAGTGTTTAAGAACTGCTGTAATCAAAGGTGGATTTTGATTATTCAACAAATTAAGAACAAATTTTTGATAACTAAATTTATTAAACCTAAAGATTAAAAAAAAGCTCATGATTTCTGGTCACTTAAAGTCATATTGGTAGAGAAAGTGAGCTGCTTGCATGAGCTGTATTTGCTGTCCTCTTAAGCAATTTGTTATATACAGCCATACACTCTTTCATTTGGAGTGGAAACAGCCGCCTTTTATTTCTAACTCACTCCACAATTAGCTGTTTTATTTTCAAATTTTTAAATTGCATGGTAGATACTCTCGCTAACTTAAAGGTGATCTCTTAAATATGTAAATGCACTACTGTAAAATGAATTACAGAAAGGAAGGACATACTGATTTTATGGACTTTGT